GTAAATATGAAAGGTGTATAAAGCAACACCTGGCAGATGGAATTCAATCTGAATAAATGCCACATTATGGAATGGGGAATAGGAGATAATAAGCCACACACAACATACAAATTATGAGAAAAGGTTTTAAAGAAATCGGATAAAGAACGAGATCAAGAGGTGGTCCAGGATAGTAAACTAGTATCAGAGGACTATTTAAAAGAACATTGTGCGAGGAGCCTATACTATGCTTTCCATCTTCAGAATCCCTTTTAAATACACGAATCGCGAAATAGTGAAGAAAATGTTCACGACCTTTACGAGACCAATATTGGAATATGCATCGGTAGTGTGGCACCCATATCTAAAGAAGCACATGAACAAATTGGAAAATATGCAAAAAACATGCAAATAAATACATATTATTATGTAGTGATAAAGATCACTACATAAAAAAATAGTAGCAGGAACTAACAAAATTGAGCAGCTGCTTCCTGGGGATGTGTGAGAAAGAGAGAAAAATATATGTAGTAGATATGATAAAGGAAAATAGGTGAGTACATTAAACAACTAACGGTTAGAAGGGCAAGGAACCAAGTGTTATCAGCTCGAGCCTGCAGGCACACGTAAGAAATATATACATACACACACACAAACATTCGCAAAAATAAATCTCTGACAACCGTTTATTTTCTTGAACACTTTTTTGGTTTATGGAGAATAAAAATATAACACATTATTCTTTTTATTATTTATTGACAAATATTACTTTTTCTATATCCAAGCTAACCACAACATTGACTAGCGCCTGTTTGAAGAAAAAGTAAGCATTTCTATTACAATATTCTCCTATGGAACCACCCTAGAGAGAAATGTGATCCAGAGCCAGGATTCCTCAGTTTTACACAACCACTAACACAAACCTGTATATCTTTCCTTAATCATGAAGGCTTTGTTTACATGTATTGAAAAGCTTACGAGCCTGGAAGCTTTACAACCCAAGGTTATTATTTTTATAAACAAGCTCGTAGTGCTTCGGAGCACTTAAACTGGTTTAATAAATGTAAACACAGCCGCCATAAATGAAGATGCACAGGTTTCGTAATTGCTTTGTAAATTCTAGTCCTGCTCTCTACTATTTTTAGACTTAAGGCTAAATATTACATTATGGTTTTAAGAACTTGTCTATATATTCTAGTGGGAAGTTATCTAAGATAAGCCCAATAAATGTTTAAAATATTATTTAAAATGTGTGAAAATGTGCTTTTCTAATGATCTATATGATTTTTTACGTAGTCATTACATCGATAGATAAATATTTTATCTTTGGTATTGATATGTACTGTACAATGTCTTGTACACGAACGAGAATGATAAATATAATCCCAGGATTTAGGAACCTTCCTTTGGAAGAAAGAGATTAAAAACCTAACTTACAATCTCTAGATTTCTAGAAAGACAAAGAGCAAGGGATGACATGATCTCGAAACTCGGATCAGTGGATATAAATTGGATAAGTTTCGATTTAGGAAAGACCTGGGTAAATACGGGTTTACAAAACAGGGTTGTTGATTTGTGGAACAGATTACCGGGTAACGTAATAGTCGTGGGATCATTTGGTTGTTTCAAGGTTAAGTTTGACATATATAAGAATGTGTTTGAGAGGATGTAAATAAGCTGCCTTCAGTGGGTCATGAGCAACTTCCCCTTATGTACCAATAGGAACTGCCTCGAATGGACCAATAAGAGGTGCGTCATATGGGTCAATAGGGACTTCCTGGAATGGGCCAATAGGAACTGCTTGGAATGGAGGAATAGGAGCTGCCTCATATGGGCCAATAGAAGCTGCCTTATATAGGCCAATAAGAGCTACCTCGTATGTGTTTGTGTCTGAGTGTGTGCATGTTTGTTTGTCCATGCATGTGTGTATGCGTGACTATGGGTGTATGTGAATTATACAAAATCTGAGACATACAAAACTTGCATTTACTTCTCTAATGCCTAAAACAAGCATATACTAAAAAGTTGCTATGTATATGTGATAAAAACTGTCGTTTTTATAATATATAAGAATTACACAATCTAAGTAGATTCAATCCAAAAATATGCCATTTTTAATCTTCTATGATGTTTGTTTCCAGGACTCACGTTACCTATTTTTGCTGCTGGAATTTAGACCTTTGGCTGCGTAGTGAAGCCGGATTGTTTCTTGACTTTCCTCGAGAACACAACCTGCCATTCGGTTTACATCCAAGTTGTGAAATATGATCGGATGCACAGAGACAAATAGTTGGGCAAAACTCTCTTCACACAACTTTCTCCACACAGGTTCGAGCCAGTGTCATTCTTCCTTGGTAGGCAGGTGAGTGAGAGCGCTCTAACCCCTACATCCTACAGTCCTTCACACCTCTCACCAGCTACCTTGTGTAGCTTCCGGGGATCAACGGCCCCATGTTCCGGTCTCCGACCAGGCCTCCAGGATGGTCATTTGGTCAATCAGGCTGTTGGTCAATCAATACCTGGTTGATCAGGTATTTCAGCTGCAATAAAGCTCACACATTTTTGGACCATGTTCAAAATTTTCCAAGAAAGGCAACGCTGTCCAGTCGACTCTCCATACTCAGGATCCTAACCAGGGATGTTTTTCCTTTCAAGGCTAGTGGGCGAGGACGCCCTAACCCCTCCATCCCATACATCTCTACACTGTTCCTCAGCTATGGCCATGCTCGAACATTTTTGAACCGTGTATAAATCTTACAAAAAATATTTGCATTCCTTTAACTGCACATGGTATACATTCTACATTGGTGGAAAAATATAGACTCGTCAAAACTCCTTACATTAGTATCCATTGATATATGATCTTCACATTTACTGCGAGCTATAGTTTCAGGCAATAATGCCCAACTAGTACTGCTGAGACTATATACACCTAGTGTGGGATGCTACGCGAGTTCAACAACAGTCAAGTTAGTCAAACTGGTATATACTGCCCGAGAGATGAAGTGCTCTACATAAACACACCCTTTATATCGTGTATACACACACACTCACTACAACGAAAATACTGTATTTTAGAGAGATCTATAAAACTGTATCACATTCACTCACAACGAAAATACTGTATTTTAAGAGATCTATAATACTGTATCACATTCACTCACAACGAAAATACTGTATTTTATGAGATCTATAATACTGTATCATATTCACCTACTACAACCAATATACTATATTTTACCATTATTTACACCAGTTAGTGTTTCCCTTCGTTGCCCGTATTGACCGATAACACCAAAGCTGTCTACATAAACACCAGTGGGGGAAAACCCCAGTAAGTACATTATTTTTTTTAAATGATTTTACGTTCAGACGACGTTCTAACGATGTAATAAGAACGTTTAAAACGTTGTGGTTACGCTGTATTATAACCACAACACTATTCTGTATATTATTGTTTACATCGAAACGTAAAACGTTTAAAAAACATTGTATTTATGTGTTTGTGATTTATGAAACGCACATTTACTTACTCGAGCAGGAAGCTATGTACAGGGCCAAGCAAGTTACATGTCGTATGTGACTTTTAAGTAACAATATTTATAGAAATTGACAAAGGTCTAAGACAATGTATGCCTTACTATACTTAGCAAAAATGTTTTTTGTCATTCGTTAGGAGAAAATGTCAAAGTTCTTCGTCTCGAGAAGAATTTGTTTAGATGTTAAGCAATGTTATTTTGAGACTCAAAAAAATGGCAAATTGCAACTCAGAATAATAGTTATTAAACATATTGGATATAACTTTACTGAAATCAAAATTTGAGCTATAAACACCTGTCCAGCACCTAAGTCACTATATTGTACACTGTCAGCTTCTATAAGTGGTCACTATAACTTACACTGTCACCTTTAGTGGTCACTATAACTTACGCTGTCACCTTTAGTGGTCACTATAACTTAAACTGTCACTTTTAGTGGTCACTATAACTTACACTGTCACCTTCTCTAGTGGTTACCATTAAACTGTTACCTTCTCTACTGGTCATTGTATGTTACCTTGCCCCCTTCTCTAGTGGTCACTATAACTTATACTGTCACCTTCTCTACTTGTCATTATATATTTTATTGTCATCTTCTCTAGTGGTCACTATAACTTACACTGTTCCCTTCTCAGTGGTCATTATATCTTTTGTTGTCACCTTCTCTAGTGGTCACTAACTTGGATTGTCACCTTCTCTAGTGGTCATTATATCTTTTATTGTCACCTTCTCTAGTGGTCATTATATCTTTTATTGTCACCTTCTCTAGTGGTCATTATATCTTTTATTGTCACTTTCTCTAGTGGTCATTATATCTTTTATTGTCACCTTCCCTAGTGGTCACTAACTTGGATTGTCACATTCTCTAGTGGTCACTAACTTGGATTGTCACCTTCTCTAGTGGTCACTAACTTGGATTGTCACCTTCTCTAGTGGTCACTATTACTTAAACTGTCATCTAGTATGTCATCTTCCCTAGCAGTAGCTTACACTGTCACCTGTTATATCACCTTCTTTACTGGTCACTATTACCTACACTGTCATCTTCTCTATTGATCACAATACCTATACTGACACCTTCTCTAATGGTCACTGGTACTTACAATATTACAACTGTATATATGAAGCACCAATGTACACATTGAGTACAAAAATTACAATAAGCACCACGTATTATATGTACAAAAACTGAATATCCTAATATACTCTAACAATACAATTTACATTAATACATTATGCTCATACAATGTCATCTGCCCTATATAGAATGCAACGTAGTCTGTGTAAGTGATTTACAGTCTGTCACTATAAACCTTATGTAATGTACACTGTATTTGGATACACAAAATTATACATGTAACGATTTATTTTATGGATTTCATTATGAAGCACATGATACACTACTGTAATAGTATATATATATATATATATATATATATATATATATATATATATATATATATATATATATATATATATATATATATATATATATATATATACACACACACTAATTTTTATTTGCATGTAATTCGAAGCGAATAATACGATGATCATTGCTAATATGACCAGATCATTGCGGACTGCTGCAAGCAACAGCCTTTTAGATCAATTTATCTCAAGCCAAGCCTGACCCCTGGCTGGGCTTAGGGAGAGGGACAACTTCTGATATACACTCGAGGTAAACTCCTACAAAACTTGTGGTAAACTCTAGGTAAACATTGCATATTGTAACACACCTTACACATCTGGAAGGAAAAGTAAGTGGCGACCTTTCAGTCCGTCCTGGACCCTTATCAAGCAGAAGTAATATGGTTCCAAGACAGAGCAAAACGTTTTCACGACTTTGTAAGGTTCCACAACGGACCGATACGTCGTCATGACTTTGTAAGGTTCCAGAACGGACCGAAACGTCGTCATGACTTTGTAAGGTTCCACAACGGACCGATACGTCGTCATGACTTTGTAAGGTTCCACAACGGACCGATACGTCGTCATGACTTTGTAAGGTTCCACAACGGACCGATACGTCGTCATGACTTTGTAAGGTTCCAGAACGGACCGAAAGGTCGTCATGACTTTGTAAGGTTCCAGAACGGACCGAACCGTCGTGATAACTTGGTAAGGTTCCAGAACGAACTGAGACGTCGAAACTCTCAAATACGAATACTGTTAGACCTTAGCACAAATGAAATATGTACATCTTAGAGCATATAGTAACACCAGTAAGAAATATTGAAGAGGCCAAAGAGGAGAGGAAAAATGCCTCTGCAGTATTCATCAATCTTGCGGGCTCGTATCTTATTGCTCTGCTTGATGGCCCTGACGACCTGTGCTGCCACCAGTGCCTTGTCGTCCTGACCGGGGGAGATGGTGCCTACCTTCTGTAAGGGGAGGGACGGAGAACACACCGGTCAGAAGCACAAAACAGTAACTGTCATGATATAGAGCACTCGGCCAAGGGCTAAAGAGTCAGCCCCTTTCAAGGGCTGACTCTATACCCCTTGAAAGAGATATGTGGAAAAACGTGGTGGGATATATGGACGAGATGCTGGGATATACAGTATGGACGAGATGTTGCGATATATGGACGAGATGCTGGGATATGGGGGACAAGGACGTGGGATTTGAGGATAAGACGACGTCTCTACAATGGTGGTTGTAGTAGTGATGCTGTTGCAGTGATGGTGGTCATGTTTAGCGAAGATGTGACCACTGCCTCCCCCCCCCCCCCCCACACGTGCACGCGCGCGCGCGCACACACACACACGGGCACCGCCGGATATCTCAGCAATTATTAAAAAAAATGTGATGTAGAGAAAGGACACAACATTATTCATACATATCTGTGAGCCTCTAACGACATCATTTTCACCGACAAGTTCTGTATAACAAGCAATTACTATATTGAAAGTCAATAGAAGATTACAAAAAAAAAAGCTTCGAGAATACAGAAGCATGTGCATTTAAACAGCACATATCTGTGCAGACTTACACAACAACTCCCATATAACACAAACACTACAACAAACACATTACAGATTGTAAGAGGAGAAGAGACTAGATACTACAGAAGCACTTGCGTTTAAACAGCACATACACTATCTGAACTCCCCGGCAGAGCTGAGCAGGGGGATGCGCTCCCCCCTTCGTCGGGAACACCCTTGGGGTCTCCAGGGCTGGGAATGAGTGTTGTGGCCTTGCTGGGGTGACTGAAGGAGGGGGTGTGGGTAAACCTCTCTGCCAGACAGGTCCCGTTGGAACCACCCCGAGGACGTAGTTCTACCTGCGGTCGTCGGCGCCACAGGTAGTTCACCAGAGTAAACTCCAAGAGAGCGCAGAACACGAAGGCTGGTCAAGTGAAAGCAGAGAATGCACACGAGTTATTAATGTTTTCAAGTATAAAGTATTGTTAAAGTATTAGGTGTTCATAAAGCATTTTTTTTTTAGCTAATAAGTAGTTCTAAATTATTAGGTAGTTTGAATGTAATAAGTTTTTTTTAAAGACTTACGTATTTGTTGGATATTCAGTATTTTTAAATATATATTATAATGTAGATTCAGTGGTCTTTAGGTTAAAATCCATACATCTAATCCTGACCAAAGTATAGTCACTTGGGATAAAGCATAGTATGCTCAATTGCTATATAATTCCTTTCTTTTCTTATGCAGCAGAGGCATATTACAGGACAGAGAGGCCAGCAGCCTACCTGTGCAGGCGCCCATCCACACGTCGATGGCCTTCACGTAGGACACCTGCGGCAGGCCGGCCTGGATGCCTGTGATGGAAGACACATTGCATGTTAGTTACACCTGAATCTACAAACACACACAATATTATATATATATATATATATATATATATATATATATATATATATATATATATATATATATATATATATATATATATACATATATATATATATGTGTGTGTGTGTGTATATCACGAAAATAAACACGTGATTTATATATATATATATATATATATATATATATATATATATATATATATATATATATATATATATATATATATATATATAAATCACGTGTTTATTTTCGTGATATATATACACACACACACACACACACACACACACACACATATATATATATATATATATATATATATATATATATATATATATATATATATATATATATATGTGTGTGTGTGTGTGTGTGTGTATATCACGAAAATAAACACGTGATTTATATATATATATATATATATATATATATATATATATATATATATATATGATTTATATATATATATATATATATATATATATATATATATATATATATATATATATATATATATATATATATATATATATATATATATATATATATATATATATATAAATTCCCCATAAAATGAATTATTGTTAATTATATCATCTGAGTACGGATCATTAAGTTCATGTGCTTTATTTGAGATTCCATCTACATTTGCATACCTGATTTTAAGGCTTTTCATTATTTTCTGCATAGACAGCTCCCTATGTGGAGGTGGGGTACTGGAAAGAGTGGGAGGTGTGGGGTACATGGGAGAACATGAGAGCGGAGGGCAATGAAGTAGGATAAGCAGTGGAGGGGAGGGAAGGGGTCCTGTTGACAGATAGTGGGTGATGGGAGATATGTTATGGGATTGGAACTGCTCCGTTCTACAGGGGTTGGGTGAGGAGGAGTGTACTGGGTGTTGGGGACGGGATGATAAGCATGCTAGCTGGTTTTTGGAGGTTATTTATAGGTTTAGGTGGGGAGGATTTAGCTATTGGGCCCCCTGGCTAATTTCTCAGTAAACACCGATTTCTGAGTGCAACTGTCTGCCTTCGTGGTTGGTCTTGTTGTGTTGTGGTTGTCTCCTGCCCTCTTGCTCTGTTGCTTTGTTGTTCCTCAAGGTGGTGGGATATGTAGTGGGGTTCCTGTCCCATGCTGCCATCTTATTTCTTCCTTCCCACCGCTATTTTTTCCCCTCCCTCCCTTTCCATCCTTCCGTCTTTCCCTCCCACCCTCTCGCCTTCCCTAATCCCTCCCTCCCTCCCTTCCTTCCCCTCTCTTTCTCTCCTTCCCTCCCATAACTCTCACTCCCTCCCTTTCCCTCCCAAGCATTCCTTCTTCCCTTCCTGACCCTACTTCCCTCCCTCCTTGCCTTCCCCTCCCTCACACCCTGGCTCCCTCATTCCTTTTGCCTTCTAACCCTCCCTTTCCTTTTCTCATTTTCGCATTCCTCTCCCACCCTCCTTCTTGCCTGTGTGTGTGTGTGTGTGTGTGTGTGTGTGTGTGTGTGTGTGTGTGTGTGTGTGTGTGTGTGTGTGTGTGTGTGTGTGTGTGTACTTACCTAGTTGTGCTTGCGGGGGTTGAGCTCTGGCTCTTTGGTCCCGCCTCTCAACTGTCAATCAACTGGTTCCTGAGCCTACTGGGCTCTATCATATCTACATTTGAAAGTGTTTGTGTGTGTGTGTGCACGCCAATGAATATTTACATGTCTAAGTTAGTGAATGTTTAACCAGGCTGTGTTTTACATAGCTCCACCGCACCTGGACGCTGCTTGTAACAGATGGGTTATATTTCACACACCAGACTCCTTTTACAGCAGTGCTGTTTGGCCGTAATGCCGTAGTGACAGCTTTTAATTAAGGGACATAATCATGCTCCGCTCTTTATAGGTAGACAAAGTTCAGTTCACTCGGAATGTGATCGTTATAAGTTCACAACGTTGTGTAGTGATATAATTGACTGGTCTAGAAACACGGTGGTTGATTTATAGAACTAATTACCCGGATAACATAACGGACGTGGGGGTCCCTGGGTTGTTTCAAGTGTAGGTGAGACATGTATATGAATGAGTTTGAGTGGGTATACATAGGCGCTGCCTGGTCTGGACCTATAGCAGCTGCCTCGTATGGGGCAAGAGACCAGCAGTTTTACCTTTATTTCGAAGTTCAATGTTTTAATGAAACAACACATGTTTATATTATTAAACACTTATATACCTCAATTGGTTATGTAACTAACCTATTGTAAATTTAGTTGATTAGAAGTCAAATTTAAAGTTGAAATTTTGTAAGTGTATTTTAAACAGGTTGTTACGAAGTGTCTTAAGTAGGTCGTAGGTGTTATTAAGTGTCTTAAGTAGGTCGTCCGTGTTAAGAAATGTCTCATGTAGGTCGCAGGTGTTAAGAAGTGTCTTAGCTAATTCGTGTTAAGAAGTGTTGTAAGTACCTCGTTCGGGGAGGAGGGATTGAGCCGCCGACCTAGAATCCCGTAATACAACTCTTAATCCACTGGTATATATATATACAGTAGGTGACACCCTGTGCCACACCCTGTGGCACACCTTGTCACACCCTCTCTACCACACCATGTGTCACACCTCCCCACCCAAGCCTCCTGACACTGTCTCCACGAATCCTCAGCTTACCCTAAATACCTTTCAAGATCTGCTGGATTTACGGCCACAGAGTTGGGGGAAGGGGGAAGGGAGGTAAGGTGAGAGAGAGAGAGGGAGGTAGGGAGGGAGGGAGAGAGAGGAAGGAAGGAAGGAAGGTAAGGAGTGAAGGAGGTTGGGAGGGAGGCAAGGAGAGAGAGAGAGAGAGAGAGAGAGAGAGAGAGAGAGAGAGAGAGAGAGAGAGAGAGAGAGAGAGAGAGAGAGAGAGAGAGAGAGAGAGAGAGAGAGAGAGAGAGAGTATTGTTAACACACTCGGATCATCAGAGATACAATCTATCATGCTGCATGTTCAGACACCGTCACTCAAGGAAGCAGGCAACAATGCTCAACAAACTACTACTTAATTTGAGATTGTTAAACTCTTCCTGGAGCACTACGATGGTATAACAAAGAGGAATGAGTTTATCAACACGTGACTCACAGACATTCCTTGTAGTGAGGGTCATAACTCTAACTCACTCACTCACTCACTCTCTCTCTCTCTCTCTCTCTCTCTCTCTCTCTCTCTCTCTCTCTCTCCCTCTCCCTCTCCCTCTCTCTCTCTCTCTCTCTCTACCCCCTGGAGAAGGGGTCGCCAAGCTTCGGCAGGGCAGTTCCAAGTCTCAACCTTTTGTGTGAAGGTTGAGTAGTGGCGGGCACCTGGAGGTGCCTGGTGGCAATGTATGGCCCGTGACCAGGGCGAGCCTGGCGGCGTGGCCCTTTATACCCCCCTTCATGATCCACGCCTTTACTGGCCGTGTGTACTCACCTAGCTGTGCTTGCGGGGGTTCAACCCCACAAACCAGCCTGTAGCAGCTGTCTAACTCCCAGGTACCTAGGTAGTCACCTATATACTACTAGGTTAACAAGGGCATCAGGGTTAAAGAAACTGTCCATGTATTTCCGCTATCACCGGGAATCGAACCCGAGCAATTTGGACTACTCGCATCATGTGAAAGGATCCCGATCCATTCCAAGTGCTATATAATCGTCTAGGCTTGACGCTTTCTCCTGAGAGTTCCCTTCCCTTTCCAGCCCATCCTCATCAACAGTGGCCAAATGCTCGTTAATCCACCCGCCAACCACCCATGTTCGAACATTTCTCGAACACTGCTTTCCTAACATCCTCTGTTCGAATCGCACTTCTATAAATGCGTCAACCACATACGACATATATCAATAATTGTCAACAGAATGTAGACATGAACTAGCTTACCAAGGCCTAAGTATGGCAAGAATACTAATAAACATATACTTAAGAGAAAGTACAATTTCTCAGGCGGGAATCTGTGGGGGTCATGGGCCGCAGCTTGAACGACCACAGCTTGCGGGAGAGGTCCACAGCGTACAGGCTTGGCGCTTAACGGTGATTGCTTTTATTCTGTAACGGTTATGTTGCTCTCCATTACGGCTAGGAGAGGGGGGGTGGGGGGGAGGAGTGTTACTCACCTCAGGATTAGGAGGAGCGTAGGGACTCATCTGAGGACTTGGAGGAACACGGTGACTCACCTGAGGACTTGGAGGAGACAGTGAGGAGCGTGGTGACTCACCTGAGGACTTGGAGGAGACAGTGAGGAGCGTGGAGACTCACCTGAGGACTTGGTGGAGACAGTGAGGAGAGTGGTGACTCACCTGAGGACTTGGTGGAGACAGTGAGGAGAGTGGTGACTCACCTGAGGACTTGGAGGAGACAGTGAGGAGAGTGGTGACTCACCTGAGGACTTGGAGGAGACAGTGAGGAGTGTGGTGACTCACCTGAGGACTTGGAGGAGACAGTGAGGAGAGTGGTGACTCACCTGAGGACTTGGAGAAGACAGTGAGGAGAGTGGTGACTCACCTGAGGACTTGGAGGAGACAGTGAGGAGAGTGGTGACTCACCTGAGGACTTGGAGGAGACAGTGAGGAGCGTGGTGACTCACCTGAGGACTTGGAGGAGACAGTGAGGAGAGTGGTGACTCACCTGAGGACTTGGAGGAGACAGTGAGGAGAGTGGTGACTCACCTGAGGACTTGGAGGAGACAGTGAGGAGAGTGGTGACTCACCTGAGGACTTGGAGGAGACAGTGAGGAGCGTGGTGACTCACCTGAGGACTTGGAGGAGACAGTGAGGAGAGTGGTGACTCACCTGAGGACTTGGAGGAGACAGTGAGGAGAGTGGTGACTCACCTGAGGACTTGGAGGAGACAGTGAGGAGCGTGGAGACTCACCTGAGGACTTGGAGGAGACAGTGAGGAGCGTGGTGACTCACCTGAGGACTTGGAGGAGACAGTGAGGAGAGTGGTGACTCACCTGAGGACTTGGAGGAGACAGTGAGGAGCGTGGAGACTCACCTGAGGACTTGGAGGAGCATGGGGACTCTTCTGAGGACTTGGAGGAGCATGGGGACTCTTCTGAGGACTTGGAGGAGCATGGGGACTCACCTGAGGACTTGGGAGGAGCGTGGTGACTCACCTGAGGACTTGGGAGGAGCGTGGTGACTCACCTGAGGACTTAGAGGAGACAGTGAGGAGAGTGGTGACTCACCTGAGGACTTGGAGGAGACAGTAAGGAGCGTGGAGCCTCACCTGAGGACTTGGAGGAGCGTGGAGGCTCACCTGAGGACTTGGAGGAGACAGTGAGAAGAGTGGTGACTCACCTGAGGACTTGGAGGAGACAGTGAGGAGAGTGGTGACTCACCTGAGGACTTGGAGGAGACAGTAAGGAGCGTGGAGCCTCACCTGAGGACTTGGAGGAGCGTGGAGGCTCACCTGAGGACTTGGAGGAGACAGTGAGGAGCGTGGAGGCTCACCTGAGGACTTGGAGGAGACAGTGAGGAGAGTGGTGACTCACCTGAGGACTTGGAGGAGCGTGGAGGCTCACCTGAGGACTTGGAGGAGACAGTGAGGAGAGTGGTGACTCCAAGAGTGGTGCGGCCCGGCACGGAGTCAACATCCATCCAGAAGGAGACCCAGGAGATGACCACTATGAGGATGGTGGGCAGGTAACTCTGCACCAGGTGGAACCCGATGGCCCTTCTCATGTGGAACTCTGCCACCAGGCAGCTGTAGTTACCTGTGGGGGGAGACTACAGCTGTAGTTACCTGTGTGGGGGGAGATTACAGCTGTAGTTGTCTGTGTGGGGGGAGACTACAGCTGTAGTTGTCTGTGTGGGGCGGAGATTACAGCTGTAGTTGTGTGGGAGACAAAACTCTCTCTCTGTCTCTCTCTCCCCATGTTACTGGCGTGGATGTGAGGTAGAGGAAACAACCATTAATAACGCCACGAGGCCACTCAACTTGTCTATTATGCATATATAACTTGTATAGTCAGAAGCCATAGCAGCTCCCACGACCAGCATCAATAAAACCTTGATTTCCGGGTCATGGGAGCCTGGAGGTCTTCAGTGAGATCATAAACCAAGATTGGGTTCCGCTAAATAAACCCCAAATTGCATTTCGGAATATAAAAGGGAGTCCATCCACTTGGACTGGTCAGTAGAGCGATGGCCTGGCTTCTTGCAGGGTCGGTGTTAGATCCCCTGACGGGGATCTTCGCTCCTTGTCCTCGTATCATAGCTCCATGTCTTCATTTCCCACCTCCTTGTCCTCGTATCCATGCTCCTTGTTCTCACATCCCAGCTCCTTGTCCTCGTATCCATGCTCCTTGTTCTCACATCCCAGCTCCTTGTTCTCGTATCTCATCTTCTTGTCCTAGTATCCAAGCTCCTTATCCTGAGATATCAGAACTTGTCCAGAGGTATTGGAACTTGTCCTCAGGTATCAGAACTTATCCTGGTATCCCAGCTCCTTGTCCTTAAATATTTTGTCCTTGACCTTATGTACCCTCCAAGCGCTATATAGTCAATCTGGCATAGTACTTTTTCCTCGTAATTATCTCTCTAAATAAGGCAGCAATAGCAACCCAATAGAAAATGCCTTATACTGTTAAGAGTTCCTTTTGAGAGATATAATGCACAATGAAACAGGATGCAAAATGATGTCACAATAACTTGATGTATCAATGAAAATAAATGATTCTCTCACACAAACTCTCTCTCTCTCTCTCTCTCTCTCTCTCTCTCTCTCTCTCTCTCTCTCTCTCTCTCTCTCTCTCTCTCTCTCTCTCTCTCTCTCTCTCTCTCTCTCACTCTCGGGCCCTCACCCTGATTATACCCTTTATAGAACCATTCACACCCGACCCGATCTCAACTGAGGATGGAGCACCCTTCATCTTCACTATCGACCCTACACCCACGCACACACACACTACTCTGCCTTTCCTCGCACACCTACACCCACACACTTCCCCCTCTCCGAACACACACACACACACACACACACACACACAAACTCTAAATGGCTATTAAGAGTTTAACCCAAGCAAATGTAATGTAATGAAGATAGGGGTAGGAAGCAGGAGACCAGATACAAGGTATCATTTGGGAGATGAAATATTTCAGGAGTCAGAGAGAGAGAGAGAGAAAGACCTGGGGGTTGATATCACGCCAGACCTGTCCCCTGAAGCTCATATCAAGAGGATAACATCAGCGGCACATGCCAGGTTGGCAAACATAAGAACGGCCTTTAGAAACTTGTGTAAGGAATCTTTCAGAACATTATATACCACATATGTCAGACCAATCCTGGAGTATGCGGCTCCAGCATGGAGTCCATATCTAGTCAAGCATAAGACTAAACTGGAAAAGGTTCAAAGGTTTGCCACCAGACTAGTACCCGAGCTGAGAGGTATGAGCTACGAGGAGAGACTACGGGAATTAAACCTCACTTCGTTGGAAGACAGAAGAGTTAGGGAGACATGATCACCACATTCAAGATTCTCAAGGGAATCGACAGGGTAGATAAAGACAGGTTATTTAACACAGGGGCACACGCACTAGGGGACACAGGTGGAAACTGAGTGCCCAAATGAGCCACAGAGATATTAGAAAGAACTTTTTTAGTGTCAGAGTGGTTGACAAATGGAATGCATTAGGAGGTGATGTGGTGGAGGCTGACTCCATACACAGTTTCAAATGTAGATATGATAAGAGCCCAGTAGGCTCAGGAACCTGTACACCAGTTGATTGACAGTTGTGAGGCGGGACCAAAGAGACAAAGTTCAACCTCCGCAAGCACAACTAGGCGAGTACACACACACACACACACACACAGAAATTAATTTGTGTTGTATAATGAGAGTATGATGACCTCCGCTGCTCGGACCCTTGCCCGGAAGTGCTCTCAAGCCCCAGAACATTTTTACGCACTACGCCAAAGGTAATATTCGGGCCAGAATCATGACCAGAGACCTGATGGGATATCTGCCTTAGCCAATACATGTTAAACTAACTCTGGTACCGTCTTTGCCCTAGTGTGTGTGTGTGTGTGTAAGGTAGGTATTGTCCCTTACCCAGTGTCAAACAAAGGCATCGTTTCTTGCCTTATATCTCACCTCCTTTTCCTCCTCCTTATATCCCACCTCCTTGTCCTCATATCCCAGCTCCTGGTCCTCATATCCCAGCTCCTGGTCCTCATATATCAAGTCCGTGTCCTCATATCCCTTCCACGTATTATCTAGCCAAATTGGCTTACAGCCTACTCTTGATAATTCCTATTCCTGTGTGATATATGAAAACGAATATTGGTGTGGACTGCCTAAGCTGGCTAACACCAAGCTTTTCTTTACAAGCTGTAGATTCTCACACGCAATTTGCATGCAGCACTGATTGCCAGTTTTAAAGAATACAGCTACCCCCGCCCCCCACCCACCCCATTAACGCGCAGGGGTCATGATTGCCAATTTGAGCAAATAATGGTTGTTGAACATTATTGGGTAGTACAGAGGGGCGCTGCTCATGGGCAGTGTAATTATTCTCTTGACACCGGTCAGGAAATTAGAAGCAAGGCCACAGTTAATGGCTCGTGAGTTATCACAATGTCTTGCCACAGTTCGTAAAGTTATGGCGCTGTCTTGCGAGAGCTCCTTGGGAAAATCAAGCCCTTTCTCTGGATTTTCCTTTGTGAAAATAATACAAGTCCTTTAAGCACCGTAATATTGACGTTTTCTACGCATCGCTCTTGCTGGTTAGGTGGGTTGTTTGGGTTCGTACATTTCTGGCTCAATAAAACAATTGTATATTTTTACGTTTTTGGTTAGGCGAAACAGTTGTATTTTGTACGCATCGGCACACACACACAGAACGGGTTGTGTAGCCGGGGCAGCACTGGAGCTTTGGAGCTCAGAAACTAATTTGTGGTTAGTTTGTTGAGGCCTTTGTGAGGGTGTTGTTCCTTCCCCCCACCCACCTTGATGTGGCGTCTGTGGTGGCTTGTTGTTTGTCATCCATGGTTACCCCAGTATGTGTCCCTCCCAGGTCATGTAGCTGTCCCAGGGCATGTATGTGTCCCTCCCAGGTCATGTAGCTGTCCCAGGTCATGTGTGTGTCCCTCCCAGGTCATGTAGCTGTCCCAGGGCATGTGTGTGTCCCTCCCAGGTCATGTAGCTGTCCCAGGTCATGTGTGTGTCCCTCCCAGGTCATGTAGCTGTCCCAGGGCATGTGTGTGTCCCTCCCAGGTCATGTAGCTGTCCCAGGGCATGTGTGTGTCCCTCCCAGGTCATGTAGCTGTCCCAGGGCATGTGTGTGTCCCTCCCAGGTCATGTAGCTGTCCCAGGGCATGTGTGTGTCCCTCCCAGGTCATGTAGCTGTCCCAGGGCATGTGTGTGTCCCTCCCAGGCCAAGACACAGCAATGGTGTCTTAGCCTGGGTATCTGTGACCTGGGACATGACCTGGGACAGCTACATGACCTGGGAGGGACACATACTGGGGTAACCATGGATGACAAACAACAAACCACCACAGACGCCACATCAAGGGGGGGGAGGGGGGGAGGGGGGGGGGAAGTAGTATATCACAGTAGCCAGCGTGGTCGGCTCACACCTCAAAGGTTCCGGGTTCGATTGATTGTTTTATTAAAATTATTTAATTTAGATAATTTTTTTCAAACTGTACTCATTTGGTAGTTTAAATGGAATTTAAATTTGTATTTTGTGTAATTCAGATTATACTGAAAGAGCAAGACAATGTGCATTCAAAATACTAATCCTGTTAAAACACCGTGTGATTTAATGTTTCATTTACGTTACTGCGAACTGCGAGAGAAAATGGGGAACTGAGAGAGAATGGGAAACTGTAAGAGAAAATGGGGAACTGTGAGAGAATGGGAAACTGTGAAAGAAAATGGGGAACTATGAGAGAAAATGGAGAGAGGATTGAGTATATACAGACCTGGTGTCGCGAACCAGAAAGGCACGTTCCACATCCCCGAAATGTTTAATCTACAATTTGGGTTTAAGGTTCGCTTGTTTCCCCCAGGCTAATTGGTTGGTGTTGTGGGCCCGTAGCTGGGTGAGAGTGAGTGAGTGAGTGAGTGAGTGAGTGAGTGAGTGAGTGAGTGAGTGAGTGAGTGAGTGAGTGAGTGAGTGAGTGAGTGAGTGAGGGAGGGAGGGAGGGAGAGAGAGGGGAGACAGGGAGAGAGACAAAGGGACAGACATCCAGAGAAAACAAGATACAAAGCTTAACAAATCACTACTACAATATCAGCTAAAACTAATTACCACAACGCAGCACAAACTACCAAAATAACACAATCATACAATCCCTCAACTCATCAAACAAACAATACCCCCCCCCCACACACACACACACTACTTCAAGACAATCTTTTCATATCAAACATTGAGGAAATCTTGGCAAATATTTCCCTCGGGGGCCGCATTATTAACTCACGGCTCTTGACTGCATGTTAATTTACAAGGCGGTTGTCCCGAGAGACCGACACCCACCCCGACACGCGACACCGTCGGCCCGACAAGCGCCCCTGTCGGCTCTACTATATACCTTCTGTCGGACCGATTAGCGATCCTGTCGGCCCGACAATCCATCCCCCCCTCACCCCCGGTGTAATCATCCCTTGAAAGAACCTTTGAAGTGTGCATCATTGGTGTAACACTTGCATTATCCACACAATATTGTAATCAAGAGTGTGCCTGTACTCCCAGGAGGTGCTGGGTGCAAGTTGGTGTCGTTCCGACCCTCTCCTCGGCAATCGTGACATTGTAAGAAAAGGAAACATGGTTAATATTGCAGAACCTAAGTGTCAATATAGCGTTGCTGGAACATGTATAGAGGTCAACTGTCTTCTGGTTTGTTGATCTGTAGCTCAACCTTCCCCCCCCCCGCCCCTGGGATTGATCGGTGCAATATTCGACGGCCTTGTATGTTTGTCGGGTCGGTGTTCGATTCCCCGTTGATCTGAGTAGTTGGGCATCGTTCCTTCACTAAGTCCTCATATCACAGTTCCTTGTCCTCATATCCCTGTTTCTTGTCCTCATATCGTAACTCCTTGTCCTCATATCCGAGCTCCTTGTCCTCATATTCCAGCTTCTCACATACGGCTCTTTGGTCCCGTCTCTCAACTGTCAATCTACTGGTGTACAGGTTCTTGGGCCTATTGAGCTCTATCATATCTACAGTTGAAACTATGTATGGAGTCTGCCCCCGACTACATCAGCCATCCACACAACGTGTGCATGTATTTACTATAAGTGTCTGCAGAATGGAGATATTTAGCTCCTGGACCCCCACCATCCTAACCAATCTATTTTTTCCTTTATTCATGGCTCTATTATGTCTACTATATATATTTATCTTTAACACACACACACACACCCAGGAAGCACATCTGTCTAACGTCCAGGTACCTATTTACAGATAGGTGAACATGGGCACCAGGGTGAAAGAAACTCTGCCCATTTGTTTCCGCCTCCGCCGGGAATCGAACCCGGGCCATTAGGATTAAGACCCCCAAGCGCTGTCCACTCAGCCGCGAGTGTGTGTGTGTGTACTCACCTACTTGTGCTTACAAGGGTTGAGCTTTGGCTCTTTGGTCGCGTGTGTGTGTGTGTGTGTGTGTGTGTGTGTGTGTGTGTGTGTGTGTGTGTGTGTGTGTGTGTGTGTGTGTGTGTGTGTGTGTGCGTGCGCGTGCGTGCGTGTGGCCGTGATAACTCTCAAGCCCTAGCCGTGTATAAAACTTGTTCCTTTGTTGTTGGTCCGCTTTACGACTGAAGCCACCACGGTGGTTGTTGGGTTATTGCCACAGCTTGATGGTTGCTGCAGCTGGTTCACAACCTCTGGCTGCCACAGCTTGATGGCTGCTGCAGCTGGTTCACAACCTCTGGCTGCCACAGCTGGTTCACAACTTCTGGCTGCCACAGCTTGGTGGCTGCTGCAGCTGGTTCACAACCTCTGGCTGCCACAGCTGGTTCACAACTTCTGGCTGCCACAGCTTGATGGCTGCTGCAGCTGGTTCACAACCTCTGGCTGCCACAGCTGGTTCACAACTTCTGGCTGCCACAGCTTGATGGCTGCTGCAGCTGGTTCACAACCTCTGGCTGCTGCAGCTGGTTCACAACTTCTGGCTGCCACAGCTGGTTCACAACTTCTGGCTGCCACAGCTTGATGGCTGCTGCAGCTGGTTCACAACCTCTGGCTGCTGCAGCTGGTTCACAACCTCTGGCTGCCACAGCTGGTTCACAACTTCTGGCTGCCACAGCTGGAAGGCTGCTGCAGCTGGTTAGAGAAACTTCAGTTGCCAGAGCCTTGGGGACTGGATATCAACTGGACCAGCGCAGATGCCTCATACGGAACCTCTTATCTATAACAAGAACCGCAGTCCAGCAAGTATTTACTTGTTCCACTTACGACACCTGTACATCTTAATTAAGTGTCCACTTACGACACCTGTGCATCTTAATTAAGTGTCCACTTACGACACCTGTACATCTAACGTGTCCACTTACGACACCTGTACATCAAACGTGTACACTTACGACACCTGTACATCTAACGTGTACACTTACGACACCTGTACCTCTTGCTTCAATCATGGCGGCTTAGTCTGTATTTACTAAACAATTTACGGGCTCGGAGGTCAATCACATCACTAATACCCTTAGCTCGAGAACGATTTCGTAAAGGTTCCGAGCTCGTAAACTGTTTAGTAAATATAGCCAACGCCGTCATGCAAACACACTTTCCCGGTTAAGTTACTTAAACACATCGTGTGATATTTCTATGTAACTCATGGCCCATCGTGGTTCAGTCGGTGATGCGTGTACCCGAGTCCAGGGACGCAACTTCGATCCCACTCAATAACCTCAATAATTTTCTCACTATACGAAACTGTTTCTCCGTTGATTATTTATGGATTTAGAACTTAGTGAATGAGAAAAATGATTATGTTAAGTGCAAGTGGCTGGCGTACGAAGTGTTGTGGAAAGTGACGCTAATCTGGTAAATGTTGTACTAAAGTCTGAGAACATTATTACCTATATAAACTGGCCCAGTTGGGTCGTTTGCCACACATTTAACGGGGTGTTTGTTCGTTTGTTTGGGTGTGTGTGTGTGTTCGTTTGTTTGGTGGCGGATGGGTTTGTGGCTCTGGCGGCTTGGTTAGTGGCAGAGTTTTGTGTGTGTTTATCTCTCATTCTCTCTCTCTCTCTCTCTCTCTCTCTCTCTCTCTCACCAGTCCCGCCATAACTTGCAGCACACAGACGATCGTATTCACTTGAGTGTGATTAACTCTTCACCCGGTGAAAACCTTCAACACTGACATGAGAGATCCTCGCTGAGGCTCACATCTCACATGTAGGTATTCTCAATATGGATGGACAAGTTTCTGAGCCGTCCTCAACACGTACACACACACACACACACGGCCTGCCTATATCCTGGAGATGTATGTGTGCGTGAATGAAGAGAAGGGAAGGGAACCATCGGGGGAAAGCGCCAAGTCATTACGACTATACAGCACTTGGAAGGGGTGAGGATAAGGATTTGGGATGGGACGGGAGGAAGGAATGGTACCCAACTACTTGGACGGTCGGGGATTGAACGCCGACCTGCATAGAGTTAGGCTTTGGCTTTGCTGGGAGCGTTCAGAAATTCAGAAAGAGAGAGAGAGAGAGAGAGAGAGAGAGAGAGAGAGAGAGAGAGAGAGAGAGAGAGAGAGAGAGAGAGAGAGAGAGAGAGAGAGAGAGAGAGAGAGAGAGAGAGAGAAAACAAAATAAATTTTAAGCGCTCGTCGTTGGTAATGAAGACAAATCACTTTCATCTGAGCTGAACAACTTATCAATTAACACTTTCACCTGAGCTTAATCATTTATCAATCAGCAGCTTTCACCCGAGCTTAATGACTTACCAATCTGGAAAGACTCCTGACAAGTGGTTGGGACAATCTTCTCCATCTCGAACTGTGGCATCCTCATGTTCTTGTACATCTTAATTGGTGCGTCGCTCTTCCAAGATAAATTGAGTTCCTTCATCGTCTTGGAAACTGCAAGACATCAAATAAGGGAAACTATATTTATATATATATATATATATATATATATATATATATATATATATATATATATATATATATATATATATATATATATATATATATACTTTTTTTGTATTTCCAAGAAACGGAATTGTCAAATATTTGTATGGGTTTTATGAGGGCTTGTGTGTATGTGTATGAGTGTGTGAATGAGTGTGTGAATGAGTGTGTGTGTGTGTGTGTGTGTGTGTGTGTGTGTGTGTGTGTGTGTGTGTGTGTGTGTGTGTGTGTGTGTGTGTGTGTGTGTGTGTGTGTGTTTTATGTAGATCAAATGTGTATATGTGAAGTTTGTATATGATGTTCTTATCACACACACACACACACACACACATCCCCCACCCCCAAAACAAACACATACACATTCCTCCAAATAAACTCAAACACTGCCGCCTCCTCACACCCAAACACACACACCAACAACCCTCTCCCCCCCCCTCCCACACACACGCGGCCAAACAAAAGCTGTGAAAACAAGACCCTAATGAACCTAATTAGGCTAATAAGGATTCTCTTCATATTAAAAATACACTTTCCCAAATATTTTCCTAAACAACTTCAACAATGCAGAAAACATGAGTTAACAAGTCGAACAAAGCTTTAGCATAGTGAATAAATGTAGAAATGCTACTACTACTGATAATAATAATACTAATACTAATACTAATACTACTACTACTACTACTACTACTACTAATAATAATAATAATAATAATAATAATAATAATAATGATAATGGTATTCTAAGTTGCTAATTAGATTGTATTTTGAAGTTAGCAAGGTGGAACAAGTCTATATATCAATGTGGGATGCTATATATTCAGTGCTATGTTGTGTGTGTTGCTAGGCTTTCAGTTACACAGTTTCTGAGTGGTTGAAGCACTCCAAAATAGAGTTCCATAATTTTGCGTATTTTGGGGCGGTGAGAGCGGGGAAATGGGTGTGTTTGGAGCATACTGAGCAGGTAGTTGTCCCACCTCTTGTGTGGTGGGGTGTTCCACGGGGGGGGGGAGAGTACACTTACTTACAAATGTAAGAGTGCTCACGGTGAGAAAGAACTCACTGCTACTCAGTTTTGAGCCCCATGACGGTATCAGGCAGTAATCCACTCCTGTATGAAGTTGGGACAGCTTTGTATTTCTTTTTCTTTTTAACAGGTCCGAGTTCATTCCCCGCGGCTCTTCATCTTCCCTATTCCTTGTCCTCATATTCCAGCTCACTATCCAGGAGCCCAACCACTTTGGCTGGACGGTAGAGCGTCGGTCTCGCTTCATGCAGGTCGACTTTCAATCCACGACCGTCCAAAGTGGTTGGACACCAATCATTTTCCCCGTCCCATCCCAAATCCTTATTCTGACCACTTCCCAGTGCTATACAGTCGTAATGGCTTGGCACTTTCCCCCTGATAATTCCCCCTGCCTTAGCCAGGAAGAACACTGCCACTATTGTTCAATATAGGTAAATACAGTGACCCCGCAACACGAGCGGTAATCACTTAAATCACTCAATAATTGGCCAATTAAACAGTTAGTGATGATTTTTTTTATAGTATGGTGTTTGATTGAGATGCAACAAAGCGCGTTATTCCTTTGTGGTCATTTACACTGTGTGTGTTATTGCTTGTTTGAATCATCAATCACCTGATTGTGAACAGCACACACACACCTGTGTTGAACTGGCGTGCATATTGCCACCTGTGTTGAACTGGCGTGCCAATTGGTTGTGTTAAATACCTTTCTTGTTTAGACCTCGTCAATTGTTTCCACATTAAACATCTCTTTTAACCGGACTCCGATAATTGTGGTTGTATTAAGCAGCATTTTTTTAACCGAACCACGTACGTCAATTGAATTTGCAATTGTTTCCTTAAACAATTCTTTGTATCTGAACACAAATGATTATACATGCATTAAACTCTTTTTTTTGTATCCGAACCTCCCCTCAATTTCAAGTATTTATCAGCTCTTTTATCCGGACTAGTCAATTGTGTCTGTATTAACTAACTCTTTTAACCGGACCCTATCAATAGTTAACAGGAAGAATTGCACTTTGATCGAGGGAAAAGCGAATGAAAAAAAACAGTGTTGATTTGGGCTTAATTTGCATATGGTGCTCCCCGGTATAATTCATTATTGGCTAGCCAAATTGCACTATATATTTCCCTTGATTGTAATTTGGTTGTTTTCTCTGTTCAGGATCACCCAAAATATATATTTGAAATATGCCATTAAACTCGTTTTGTATGGCGGTCATTTAGAATAACGAGATTTTAGTCAAAGTTCTATATCTAAAACAGAAAAACATTGCTTAATTAACTGTAAAATATTCAACGGTCCACAATCATCAGCGAATGGGTGTTATAGTCAGTTGTTCAAAATATATGTTATATAGATATTATCTAAACATTGTGTTTATAAATACAAATACGTGAGATTAGCTTCTTCAAAAACAAGGTGCCACATATCTTTCCTATCCTTTATGTTAATCCTAGCCTAGTCTAACTTTCCCTTGCCTACCTAGCCCAACCTATCCTTTATGTTAATCTTAGCCTAGTCTAACTTTCCCTTGCCTACCTAGCCCAACCTAATATAACCTAACCTAACGCAAACTAGCCTAACCTAATCCATCATAACATAACCTATCCTATTCTAACCTTACCTAATCTATCTTTCGTAACCTAACCTAACCTGTCTTAACCTTACCTAACGTAACCTATCGAACTTAATCTCTACAGAGAGGTGTATAAAAACTCCCCCTTCATAATTATGCAATATCTAAGCCAAAAAATAAAAATCTTAAGCATAGAAAAGACAAAGTTTCGAACTTACAACTTGCAATCTCCATCGTGCAAACTTGAGAGTCCAGAGGGAACTTGGAAAGTTCCATCATGCAGGCAAACACCAGCTTCAGTCTGCAATATTAAGAAACAAGCACTCATTTAAAATCAAGTTCAAAAACTTTATACGGAATTCTTTACATTTGTAATTTAAACTTAGTACAAAAAAGCACATTATTTACATAACTGCAAGTTATAATAATATATAATTATCATAATTATATACTGAATAATTTAGATTTAAAAGCGTTATTTGTCGGTGATTTAGACAAATCCTTATATTTGTTAGAGGAGTAAAACAGGTGTCACAGCCATAGTTCAAACTTATATACAATTGACCTTATTTGTAAGTGTGCATGAGATAGGTTGCAAAGAAACTACATAGATACAGTTTTGCACCTCCCAGAAAATGCAGGAATATGCTAGCCTGGGTAGCATATTCCTGCATCCCTGTATAGAGGGGTAGCCTGCATGCTATAGTGGGGCATGAGTATAGAGTATATATTCCCACCCTACGCTACGTTGACTCTCAGTTCAAGAGAGGGAAAATACTATGCATATGCCCAGGGGCCAGATTCACGAAAGCACTTACGAACGTTTACATCTTTTCTTAATCTTTGTCGGCTTTGTTTCCAATTATTAAACAGTTAATGAGCTCCGAAGCACCAGGAGGCTGTTTATAACAATAACACCAGGTGATTGGCAAGTTTTCATGCTTGTAAACTGTTTAATAAATGTAACCAAAGCCGTCAAAGATTGAGGAAAAGATGTACAGGTTCGTAAGTGCTTTCGTGAATCTAGCCCCAGACCTCCAAGTGAGAGAAACTGTTATACATGAGAAGTGAACCAATTATGCAAGTTCTGATTTTTTTTAAAAAAGGTGGACTGAAGCACAGTAGAACATGGATGGGACCAAGTCGGCAAGAACATTTCAAGAGTTCGGCTGGGGGGGGGAAGGGGTCAAGTGTGCAAGATTGGATTCAAAAACTACATTCTCTAGAACCTCCGTGTACTGTCACACTCCATGTCATAAGTACTACTACCAAACTTGGACAAACTGTGGCCAAAACTACAACACACCCTAACTCCACCTACCCTAATCTAGCCTAACCTAACCCAACCTATCCTAATCTAACCTAACCTGACCTAGCCTAACCTATCATAACATATATGTGCGGGTTCAACTTTATGTATTGAGTGAAGACCGTAAATGACCGGGCCTCACCGCCAAAATTCTACAGACAACACATGCCTGATTTTATTTTAGACACTGAAATTCGCTAGGTGGGGGACGGAGGTTGGCTGCCGATATTTCTTAAAGCTTGGCACATGGACCGACACGACTGCGCTATGACACACATATATATATATACCCCCAATATTTCATTATGAAAGTTGAGTGATGCTAGCCACAAGTGTCCACAGATGGAGGCCAGATGCTTAGGGCTAGGATCACCCAACTTTGCAAGGGGAATGATTTAGTACACAGGAGAGACATAGGCTGGTTGGCGTCCATTCAAATTCTTTAAGAAATATTAGCATTTATACAGACCCTCCCAGGCTATTTTCTTGAAGACAAGTGTGGAATAGTGTGTGTGTTCCCCTAGACTTTTAGTGACCATAATAATATATTTTCTGAGAAACCCAGAGTTGTTTCTTAATAATAAATTTTCTGAAAGACGGGAGGAGACGGGGAAGGGGGAGATAAGAGGGGGGGAAGTAGACAGGTGGTCACTTTGAGCATTAAACAACATTAATTTTAATGGTTTTTAATTGCTTTAATCGCTTTGGGCATTTTCCATATATTGTTTAAAAAAAAAGATACTTGATAACTCTTAAAAATGTTTTAAAGGTCCTCAATTTAAGTGATCTCTACTTGGAATTAAATTTTTATAAAGGTCATCAATTACTTTGATCATTTGGACATTTAAGTATTTTTTGTTTAACGCTCCTCAATTACTTTGATCGCTGCTGGCTCTAATATACGAGAGTAATCAAGTAAGGAATTTGCCAGTCAGGAAAAATATTCGTGTCTGAGCTGCCTAGCTTCCTACTCTTCCCCTTTCCACCGACCCATTCCTCGCCCACCCCCCCTATTACTCAGTTACCTTTCTCAGTAATATTTATCACAGCCCCCTCTCCCCACATCCCCCTTCTCCCCACAGCCGCCATTTTCCCACAGCCCCCATTTTCCACACAGCTCCCCCTCTCCCTTGTTTGAAGGGATTGCAAGGGTCCAACTCTCCTCTCACTGGGATCCAACCCTCCTTACATTAGGATCCAACCCTCCTTACATAAGGATCCAACCCTCCTTACATGAGGATCCAACCCTCCTTACATGAGGATCCAACCCTCCTTACATGAGGATCCAACTCTCCAAAGTCTCTTATATTGAAAGAAACAGAACCGAGACTCTTGTCATTATGAATTTCAGAACACCAATAGGATCAAAGGCAGCATATACACGAAACAGAAAAAGTATGTATCAATCCCTTTCGGGAATTTACATTTTTTTTTAATAGCAAAGTCCACGGCCGATGCATGGAAAACGTCAATATTACGGCGCTTTAATTTGTACCAATACGTCGCATTTTTACCGGATTGGTCGATTCCGTAAGTAATTCGGCTTGTTAAGTGGGAGGACAGGTTTCCGATGACAAACCTTGACCAAGTTTCCCAGAGCGACTTGTCCAATGTTATTAATGTCTGAGATGTTGATCAAACATGATGCGGGGCCCTCTCTCTCTCTCTCTCTCTCCTCTTCCTCTCATCCTCTCCTCTTCCTCTCATCCTCTCCTCTTCCTCTCATCCTCTCCTCTTCCTCTCATCCTCTCCTCTTCCTCTCATCCTCTCCTCTTCCTCTCATCCCCTCCTCTTCCTCTCATCCCCTCCCTCCCTCTCTCCTCTCATCCCCTCCCTCCCTCTCTCCTCTCATCCCCTCCCTCCCTCTCTCCTATTCCTCTCTCCTCTTTCTCTCTCCCCTCTTTCTTTTCCTCTCTGTTCTCTTCCCTTACCTCCAATTGCCTCTCTCCCCACTCTCAATCCACCTTTCTCCCCTCTCCTCTCTCTCTCTCTCTCAGGGTCAAGCTCAACACCACTTATGACACTCCCATGTAAGTCACCAGTCACCTTGCAACGTTGGCCCGAGCATCTGGCTTCTAACCTAACACGCACAAAGAGACATTATTTTTTATTAAAATAGAGTTGGTGTAAGCGTTTGACATATGCACTATCAATGTTGTTCTACAATACCACTCCCATGTTATGCAACAACAGTTGTATAGGGGGGAAAAGGCAGGTTTTAACCTTAATTAAATATTCCACCACACCTCCAATTAATGGCATAATCGGCCTTCCAACCCCGCGGTAGAACCGGTTTACCCTCAGCCCAAACCTCTATCAACCCCAGGCACCACCAGACCCAGGCACCACAACCTCACCCTCCATTAGTGCCAAGCACCATCAGTCACAATATGAGCTGCCTCGCATGGACCAATAGGAGCTGCCTTGTATGGGCCAATAGGAGTTGCCTCGTATGGTCCAATAGGAGCTGCCTCGCATGGACCAATAGGAGCTGCCTCGTATGCACCAATATGAGCTGCCTCGCATGGACCAATAGGAGCTGCCTTGTATGGACCAATATGAGCTGACTCGCATGGACCAATAGGAGCTGCCTCGTATGGACCAATATGAGCGGCGTCGCATGGACCAATAGGAGCTGCCTCGTATGGACCAATATGAGCTGACTCGCATGGACCAATAGGAGCTGTCTCGTATGGACCAATATGAGCTGCGTCGCATGGACCAATAGGAGCTGCCTCGTATGGACCAATATGAGCGGCGTCGCATGGACCAGAGGACCCTCAAATATTCTCCTGTTCTTGCGAAGACAGATGGTAAGGAAAGATGAAAGAGCAACCAAACAACGAAGATCGAAGATGAGAAAATGCCCAATAAATGAGAGTAGAGAAAAAGATGAAAGGAGATATGAAGGGAGGATGAACAATTGCCAGTGAAGAGTATTGACAGAAATAACATGGCACAAGGAAACCCAACATACTATGGTTGGTATATATTGGCTGGAGACTTGATATGTAGGTACATATTGGCTGGAGACTTGATATGTAGGTACATATTGGCTGGAGACTTGATATGTAGGTACATATTGGCTGAAGACCTGATACGGTTGGTACATATTGGCTGGAGACTTGATATGTAGGTACATATTGGCTGGAGACCTGATATGTAGGTACATATTGGCTGGAGACCTGATATGTAGGTACATATTGGCTGAAAACCTGATATGTAGGTACATATTGGCTGGAGACCTGATATGTAGGTACATATTGGCTGGAGACCTGATATGTAGGTACATATTGGCTGGAGACCTGATATGTAGGTACATATTGGCTGGAGACCTGATATGTAGGTACATATTGGCTGGAGACCTGATACGGTTGGTACATATTGGCTGGAGACCTGATATGTAGGTACATATTGGCTAGAGACCTGATATGTAGGTACATATTGGCTGGAGACCTGATACGGTTGGTACATATTGGCTGGAGACCTGATATGTAGGTACATATTGGCTGGAGACCTGATATGTAGGTACATATTGGCTGGAGACCTGATATGTAGGTACATATTGGCTGGAGACCTGATATGTAGGTACATATTGGCTGGAGACCTGATACGGTTGGTACATATTGGCTGGAGACCTGATATGTAGGTACATATTGGCTGGAGACCTGATATGTAGGTACATATTGGCTGAAGACCTGATATGTAGGTACATATTGGCTGGAGACCTGATACGGTTGGTACATATTGGCTGGAGACCTGATATGTAGGTACATATTGGCTGGAGACCTGATATGTAGGTACATATTGGCTGGAGACCTGATACAGTTGGTACATATTGGCTGGAGACTTGATATGTAGGTACATATTGGCTGGAGACCTGATATGTAGGTACATATTGGCTGGAGACCTGATACGGTTGGTACATATTGGCTGGGGACCTGATATGTAGGTACATATTGGCTAGAGACCTGATATGTAGGTACATATTG